AGTCTTCAACCCCCTGAGATTCTCTCTTCTATCTCTTGTATTCTATTGGTGATACTTGCATCTGTAGTTCCAGACCGTTTACCAAGCTTTTCTATTTCCAGCATCCCTTCATTCTGTGTTTTCTTTATCGTTTCTATTTCAGCTTTCAATCCTTCAACTGTTTGAGCTGTTTCCTTAGTTTTCTTGGTTGTTTTTTCTTGGTGCTCTTTAGATTCTTTGAGAGATTTGTTTATTTCTTGAATTTTTCCCCCATTTCATGGATTTTTTTGTTTTTTCTTCTAATTCTTTAAGGGATTTCCTCGTTTCTTCTTTGAGGGTCTCCATCATCTTCATGAAATAATTTTTAAGGTCTGTCTCCTCTTCTTCATCTATGTAGTGCTTTTAGCGTCTTGCTGCGTGTTGGATCCCTGGATTCTGGTGGGGTCATGTTGGTGGTTCTATTGCTGAGTGATCTCTTATTCTGTCTTCTTCCCATCTCTTCTTCCAGTGGGTGCTGGTGGGGTCTTTCTGTCTCCACTGGCCTCCTTCCTTACTGCATCTGAAGCTGGGGGTGCTGAAGCTGGACTCCCTGGGGTTGGGGTCTTGGAGGGGCTGATGTCTTTCCTGTGTGGGCAGCTCTTCTGGAAGCCGGGAGCGGCCCCGAAGATGGAGGGGATGGGTGATGGGAGGGTGGTCCCCGCTGGAGACCCAATCTCACCTGAAGCTGGGCTCCCTGGGGTTGGGGTCATGGAGGGGCTGATCTCTTTCCTGTGTGGGTGGCTCTTCTGGAAGCCGGGAGCGGCCCTGAAGATCGAGGGGATGGGTGATGGGGGGCGGTCCTCCCACAGGAGACCCAATCTCACTTGAACCTGGACTCCCTGGTGTTGGGGTCTTGGAGGAGCTGATCACTTTCCTGTGTGGGCAGCTCTTCTGGAAGCTGGGAGCAGCCCCGAAGATGGAGGGGGATAGGTAATGGGAGGGCAGTCCCCGCTGGAGACCCAATCTCACCTGAAGATGGGCTCCCTGGGGTTGGGGTCTTGGAGGGGCTGATGTCTGTCCTGTGTGGGCGGCTCTTCTGGAAGCCAGGAGTGGCCCCGAAGATGGAGGGGGATGGGTGATGGGAGGGCAGTCCCAGCTGGAGACCCAATCTCACCTGAAGATGGGCTCCCTGGGGTTGGGGTCTTGGAGGGGCTGATGTCTGTCCTGTGTGGGCGGGTCTTCTGGATGCAGGGAGCAACCCAGAAGATCGCGGGGGATGGGTGATGGGCGGGCAGTCCTCCCCGCAGGAGACCCAATCTCACCTGAAGCTGGACTCCCTGGGGTTTGGGAGAGAGGAGTGATGAGCAAATTGGCAAAGAATGGGCTGGCAAAACCAGCAGAGACAGCTGATCAGAACAGGGGAGTGCTCTTGGACCCCAGACTGACAGTGGGGAGGCCAGCATGGGACTGATCTGGACCCCCAAATGTGAGTGTCAGTGAGAAGGCCTGGGCAACCTATGGGGCCCTGAGCTTTGGATCAGTGTCTATCCCTGGTATACAAACTGTCTTCATGTGCCTATAGCACAAAGAGAGATGCTCTGTCAGCCTGGACTCTTAGTGGAGTGCCTTGACCCTACCAAGAGTAAAATGACAGACTCTAGATATCCCCTATGTGGAAAGATTTGGCAATAGGGTGGGGGGAAGGGAGTGCGGGAAGAGGGGAGGGAGAGGGAACTGGGATTGACATGTAAAACAAGCTATTTAAAATTAAATTAAAAAATGATAAAAAAAGAAATAGAAGCAGTCACAAAAAGTATTCCAATAAATAAAAGTCCAGGGCCAGGAGGTTTCAGTGCAGTATTCTACCAACATTGAAGAAAAAGCTAATACCAATACACTTCAAATTGATCCACACAATAGAAGCAGAAGGATCACTGCCAAAACCTTTTTATGATGCTACAATTACATAAGTAGCCAAACCACACAAAGACACAAACAAGACAGGGAATTACACACCAATCTCCCTCATGAATATTGATGCAAAAATACCCAATAAAATACTGGAAAATTGAATCCAATAACACATCAGAAAAATCATACACCATGATCAAGTATGCTTCAACCCAGGGATGCAGGGAAGTTTCAACATAAGAAAATCTATCAAGGTAATCCACCATATAAACAATCTGAAAAAGAAAAAAACCATGATCATCTCACTAGATGCTGAAAAATCCTTTGACAAAATCCAAAACCCCTTCATGATAAAGGTCTTGGAGAGATCAGGAATAACAGGAACATACCTAAACATAATAAAAGCAATATGTAGCAAACTAACAGCAAGCATCAAACTAAATGGAGAGAAACTAAAGGTGATTCCTCTAAAATCAGGAACAAGACAAAGATGTTTACTTTCTCCATATCTCTTCAATATTGTACTTAAAATTCTAGCTAGAGCAATAAGACAACCAAAGCAGATCAAGGGAATACGAATTGGAAAGGAAGAAGACAAACTTTCGTAATTTGCAGACTATATGATATTCTATGTAAGTTAACCAAAGAATTCTACCAGGAAACACTTATAGCTGAAAGACACCTTCAGCAAAGTGGCAGGACACAAAATTAACTAGCAAAATCAGTAGCGCTACTCTACATAGACAATAAAAGGGAAGAGAAAGAATTCAGAGAAACATCACCCTTTACAATACCCACAAACACCATAAAATATCTTGTGTAACTCTAACCAAACAGGTGAAAGACCTACATAACAAGAACTTTGAGTCTTTAAAGAAAGAAATTAAATAAGATACCAGAAAGGGAGAGAGATGGAACTGAACATGACATGGATAAAATGTTAAATAAAAATATGGGGAAAACTAAGAGAAAAAAGAAATCTATGTTCAGTTTGTTTGTATGTGTGGCATTTTTTTGTTTCAGGGAGTGGTTGTAGAGTTTGATCTGGTTTTTGTTTTTGTCCTTGTTTTATCCTACTCAAAGATTCTCTGAATAGCTCAGGAATGAATATTGGAAGCCCCGAACTGTCTCAATCTGCCTGTATTCTTTAAATGCTCTACCATCACAGAAGACAAAAAAATACATTTTGGTGGAAAACTTTAAATTTCTCAAAATTCAAGTTTTTCTCACAAACTCTGAGATTATGCATACTTTAAATACTAGGAAGTAGGACAATTAAGTAAAATACAGGGGGAAATATTGAACAGAATTTCTAAGAATTTCATCACTACTTCACATAAAACTATAGAACTCTGTTTTGATGGACAAAATAATTTCAGTAAATATGGAGAATATACATGCAAGTTATAGTGTTACAAAAAGCATAGGAGATTTACAAACAAACCTAAAGAGCTCCAGCCACAGAAACCTCTGTTTTCCACTTTCCATGACTAATCCATTTAAGGATAAATCAAAATGAGATTTGCAGTTGTAGGAAAAAATAAATTATGATATAATGTGAGTCCATGAGTGTGTAGGGTTGATTAAGAATTTTGGAGGTGAACTATAATGTGACAGAATGTTAGATCATAACTGTTGCCAGGCCACCCAGATGGAATTCTGACTTCTAAGATCATGGGACCAAGAGGCATAGAGCAGCTGAGATGAAGTGTTATCTTTGGATATTTAACCCTCTTAAGTTAAGTGTCATGTACATTCTTTATTGACAGCATATGTAGATAGTGATTCTCTTAATGAGGCCATGAGGAGTGTGTGGGGGGAGTAAGAGCTGGGAAGAAGAGAGGGGGAGAAGAGGAGGAGAGAGTAGGTCATGGGGGAACAGGACGGTTGAGTGGGGGTAGAATAGGGGAAGAACAGGATGATAAATACCATAACATTGGGGAAGTCATAGGTTTGAAGAGAGATCTGGCACCAGTGAGAACTCTAGTGATCTAAATGGATGACACCAACTGGCTAGCTAAGCCATAGTGGAGAGACCACCTCGAATGCCCATTACTGATAATGAACTCGATGTCGATATCCATCCTGGAGCCTTCATCCAGTGACTGATGGAAGCAGAGGAAAACACCCACAGTTAAACACTGAACTGAACCATAGGAACCCAGTGACACAGAGAGAGGAGTGGTGAGCAAATTGACAAAGAATGGGTTGGCAAAACCAGCAGAGACAGCTGATCTGAACAGGGGAGATCACTTGGAACGAAATGACAGACTCTAGATATCCCCCAAGGAGGGCTTTACCCTCCCTGGGGAATGGAGTGGGGGGCTGAGGGGGATGGTGGGGGGAGTGGGTGTGGAGGGGAGGGAGAGGGAGCTGGGACTGACATGGGAAGCAAGCTTGTTCCTAATTTAAATATATAATAAAAGTGTAAAAAATAAAAATAAAATGAAAAAATAAAAAAGAGCCAAGTCCTTGAATTCTCCAAAGCCTTTGAGGCACTGTAGCATTGCTTAATCTCTTTGTGTTATAGAAGTTGTTAAGTTTTATGAAAACTATCACTCATCAAATTCCACAGGTTCTCAGCTATAACCTCCCTAAAAATTAGTCAGACTTTATCTTGTAAAGATAATAAAAGAGTGTTTTCCAAGAAAAATGTCAAACATGTACCAGTGTAAACCACAGTATAATAAACCCCCATGTACTCATCAAAGCCTAATCTGTTCTTCAAAGAGGCCCAGTCTTTCTTCATTCCCCATCCTGTCTAATTTTGAAGCAAACCCTTTATTTCATACCACGTACAGACATTTATTATCTCCTGAAGCTGTACCTCTAAAGCTACGACTAAAAACATCACCACCATATCAAAGTCACACCTAAAAACTTGACTTTAGGACTAGTTAATTGCAGTGTGTGGTATTTTTTATTTGCAATTTCTTAAAAAAGATTTTTTTAGTGTTTTTCGTGTGTATGAGTGTTTTGCTAGCATGTATGTCTGTGTATCTGGTGCCTCCAGAGGTCAGAAGAGGGTATTGAAATAGACAGTTGTGAGCTACTATGTGAGTGCTGGGAAAAGAATCTGGGTCCTCTGCAAAAAAACCGAGTGCTCTTAACAGCTGAGCCATCTTTTCAGCTCACATTTTTAATAATAAAATTTATTTAACAAATTTAAGTGTCTAAAATTTATCAAGCAGAGAAAGAATATTTATAGATCATCTATCTCAGGCACTCCAAGGTTCTATACACATTATCAAACAAGTAAAAAAGCATTCCCTGGCCTTACATCAATACAGTTCAAGAGAAAAGACACAAGTGAAATAACATGAGTAAATATCTTCTGACCAAACAGCGACCTCAGCAGCCCCAGGAAAACATAGTGCACAGGCAGTCCTTAACAGTGGCTGCTGAAAAGCAGCTCCTTGATGGAAACCTGGAAGAGGTATAGACATGTAAACTTATCAGCTGAGTGTGAAGGGAGATGAGGAGCAGAGTAGGAAATGCAATCTGGGAAGGAACAGGTTGGGAATATGAATCTGCACAAAGTAACAACTTAAGTACTGGAACCTGGTGGGTTACAGCCAGTTGAGTTTTCCTGATACAGCATTTATTTTAAATGAATGATGTGGATGGAACCTGTTGTTCAAACTCCAAGTCCTCAGTTAACCAGTATCTGGCCTGTTCTACCCTGGGACTATTGGCATAGTGTCCATCTAGCTAAGCCCACTTGCTGTACAGCTTCTAACACCAGGAGTATACAACAGAAAGACATGCAGATTTGGCAAATGTGAACTCAGTCCCATTTTATAAAAAAGGAAATGGTTAAAAAATGATGGCAAGTCAAAATTTAGAACATCCTGAAATGTTCACTGTTTAAGAAAGAACCAAAACTACAATCCTGACCAATGAATACAAATTGGTATCTAAGCATTAGAAGTTAGTCATCCTTTCCTGATCTAGACATATTTCATATTTGGACTAAGTGGTTTAGACCTAACACGGCCTGATGAGCCACCGACTACAGCAACATAACTCTACAGTTGAGCTGCCTCAAACAAACCACAATGTTATTTCTGCCATGCTCAGTGACACTGGGTTGGTATCCTTACCTTTCACCACATCAGCTACATTGCAGGTGGGATCGATACTCCCTATGTGCTTAGGATGAGCAGGATTAGTGTCACCACCAAACAGAAGTGCTAAATGAACACAGAAAGACAAGGAAGGAGATTGAAACACAGCAAGCTGCGATGGTTGAGCACAGAAATAAATTTCTAATTGTCAAAAGGATCTTTTGTTTTAAGAATCATTTCAGCATCCACAATGATTTAAAGTAATGAAATGCAGTTTATGGGTGAGCAAATACAATAGCCAAAAGCGGGAAGGATATACTTTAGGTCCCATCAGTTGCAGTCAGTAGATCCTAAAGCAGTGACACCTCAGGTGCCCAATCTTTGCTCCCTCAGTGGATGGAAACTAGATCAGACATTTCCATGCTTGGCAGGTTATCTCCCTGCTCAAGACTACAGCAGTCATTTATTCCAATCACTAAATATTCACATGCAGTTTGGGCCATTTGTGAAGAACCTTCACAGGCAACACTGCAAATGCCCCCATCATGGAGGTTCTTTTCCAATTCTGTGTATACAAACAATATTTGTTCAAATATTTGCAAAAAAGTACTCCATTTTACTGCACACAATACTTGCAAACTTTTATTCCTAAATAAAAACCTAAAGAATCTAAAAAGAAAAAGGCAACTCAAGCCAAATTTTTATTAGTATACTTTATATTAAATCAACACTTGGAAAGTTGCCACAATCTCAGCAGATTAGCTTTTTGGTATTTAGGTTCCCCCCTTTTTTCTATAAATTTGTTCTCTAAAAATTACATGAATACATACTTAAAAGTTCTATAACATTTGTTTATCTAAATAAATCAAATGATTTTTAAAAAATGAACCAAAAAGTGAGTAAAACAAACAAAACATGCTTTGTCCATTCTCTGCTTTAGCAAGGATGACTCTAAATATATGGATCCTTTTTCTTAGAATTAAAAAACAATCAACCAAGGTGTCAACACTAGAAATCAGTCAAGAAGTTCTTTATGTTGAAAAGAATTTTAGATTTTTTCCTCATCTATCACCATGAGGAACAGACTAAATTCTCAATGTGGCATCGTGGACTGATAATCTTGCTTCCTCAAATTTTCCTATTACTGTGGAATAAAGGGAATTGCTTATATATCCAATATGCCAATTCATCATTCCCAGTTTTGATGTTTTTAAAACTAAAAAAGAAAATGCTCCCAGGTATATTAAATCATTGAAAAATTGATGTGGCTGCCATTAAAACCAGCTCCTTATCTCCACAGAAATAAGCAGCAGAGCCCTTGAAAGCCAGGCAGTGGTCCTGCCTCTATTGTCTTCCAGAGACAGCTTTGAATCAAGAATATTGATTAACAGATTTTTATAATAGGAAGGGTTCACTTAAGAAAAATTGAGCTAGAAATGAAATTTCTACAACCAGAAGTCTAAATTAAAAGTGAAGCAAGGGGAAAACTTTTCAGAAAAATCAATATGGTTAGCTTTTTAAAACAGGACCCAGCATAACCCAACTTACTGTGTTGGTTAATAAGCATGCAGAAAGAAATGCGGTTGGTATAAAAATGATCCAGGAAATATTGGATGTTACTGCTAACAAATGGATCAAACCCAAACTTTTCCTTGTATTCAATCATGCCTTGGGCCATTGTAGGAACAACATCATTGTGTCTGTTTCTGATATTAATCAGAACATGGAGAAAGCTGTGTAGGAAGGAAACAAAATGCGGTAAGTCTATTTCATAGGCGGAAACACACTTCCCACCTCTGTCTACTTATCTACTGACACTCTTTATAACTATAAACATTACTTTTACTAGGTAGCAAAAGGAAGTAGTCATAAACATTAAAACCTAACCCAAGCTTTGGTTTGAAACTTACTACCAAAAATTCTTTCAGAGATACACAAAATAGTAAAAAGTTCTAGTAAAGTCAAAGCCAGGCGGTGGTAGTGCATGCCTTTAACCCCAGCACTTGGGAGGCAGAGGCAGGTGGATCTCTGTGAGTTCCAGCCTGGTCTACAGAGCTAGTTCCAGGGCAGCCAGGACTATTACACAGAGAAACCCTATATTGAAAAATAAAAAGTTCAAATAAATTTTTAGAAATGCACTTACATTTTGGAGTTCTATAACTTTTTTTGACCAAAGAATTACAGAACATATCAATGTTTCTCCTGACGACCCAAGGACAGTCCTGGCAGAGTCTCTAAGGACTTACAAATGGGGTCCTAAAGCAAGAGCTTCTTCTCTGAATACTGAATGCCAAAGTTTTTATAAGCAAAAATTTGAAATAATCTACTTCCAGCAGTAAAACATGATGAAATGTATATATAAAAAAAACCTCATTGAAAACATCCGGGCAGTGGTGGTATACATCTTTAGTCCCAACACTCGGGAGGCAGAGGCAGGCAGATCTCTGTGAGTTCCTGGCCAGCCTGGTCTACAAGAGCGAGTGCCAGAACAGCTAGGGCTACATAGAGAAACCCTGTCTCAGAAAAACAAAAAGAAAGAAAGAAAATGAAAAAATCTCAATGAAAATAAACTTACTTGCTGGGAGTAGTGGCACATACCCACAGTTCTGAATACTCAGGAGGCAGAAGCAAGAGGGTACTTGAGCCAAGGGGTTTAAAACTAGCCTGGACAATACACAGAAGACACTCATCTTGAAACAAAACACACAAATCATTTTCAAGTATTCTGGCACATTATTGAAAAGATGTATAGTGAAGGGCTGAAGAGATGGCCCAGTGGTCAAGAGCACACTGGCTGATCTTCCAGAGGAACCAGTTTGCACATTGTGGTGGCTTGAATAAAAATGCCATGCAAAGACTCATGTTTGAATGCTTAGGGAATAGCGCTATTAGAAGGCGTGGCCTTGTTGGAGGAAGCGTGTCACTGGACATAGGCTTTGGGGTTTCAGATGTTCAAATCAGGCCTAGTGTCTCTCTCTTCCTGCTGCCTGCTGATCAGATGTAGAACTCTCAGTTCCGTCTCCAGCACCATGTCTGCTGGCACACTGCCATACTTCCTCCCATGACAATCATGGACTAAACCTCTGAAACTCTAAGCAAATCTCAATTACATCTTTTCCTTTATAAGAGTTGCTGTGCCGGGCGGTGGTGGTGCACACCTTTAATCCCAGCACTTGGGAGGCAGAGGCAGGCGGATCTCTGTGAGGTTCGAGGCCGGGCTGGACCGATAGCCTCTGAAACAATATAGAGAAACCCTGTCTCGTAAAAACCAAAAAAAAAAAGTTGCTGCAATCTGAGTGTTTCTTCACACCAACAGAACGTTAACTAAGACACACACGGTGGCTCACAACCCTTTTCAAGTCCAGTCGCAGGGCAGCTGACACCCTCTTCTGGATTCCCTGGATGCCAGTCACACATGTGGTACACATTTTGTAGACAAAACACCAATACACATAAAATTAAAAAATGTAAAAACATGCATAGAAAAATGTGCAATACAGTGACTTTAAGAACAGGAAAAGAGTTGAGCATTGGTGGCACATGTCTTTAATCCCAGCACTCAGGAGGCAGAGGCAGGCGATCTCTGTGAGTTCGACACCAGCCTGGTCTACAGAGTGAGTACCAGGACAGCCTCCAAAGCAATACAGAGAAATCCTGTCTTGAAATTCAAAAAGAAAAAAAAAACAGAAAAATTAAGTCAAGCAATTAAACCAAATAAAATTATGGATCCAGGCTCAGAGGTTAAGCAGCTGTTTACCAAAATTTAGCATATTAAGAATATAGCAATGTGGGGTCTGGAGAGATGGCTCAGCAGGTAAGAGAACTGATGGCTCTTCCAGAGGACCCAAACTCAATTTCCCAGCACCCACATGGCAGCTCACAACTGTCTGTGGCTCTAGTTCCACACAGACTCACATACAGGAAAAAACACCAATGCACATGGAGTAAGAATGAATTTTAAAAAGAATGCAGCAATGCAAGTTAGTAAGGAAATGATTAAACTGATTAGACCACAGGTCCAATCATATAGCACTTTCAAGCTTAAGCCCCAATTAAATGAAAAACCTTAGAGTGAGACTGGGGAGATGGCTTAAGGGTAAAGTGATGAGGGTCTACACCCTCATAAAGACAGGTGTAGCAGCGCATCTCAGTAAGCCAGAGCCAGAGGAGTGGAGGTCCTGGGGGATCGCTGGCCAGCCAGTCTAGTCCAAACATCAAGTCCCCTGTTGAGTGAGGGAGCCTGTCTGAAAAAATTAGGTGAGAGCAATCAAGGAAGACTCTTGATGCCAACCCCTGACCTCCACATGAAAATGCACACATATATGTACACATGTATACACATAAACCACACACACAATACTTTCTTTTTAAAAATGAAAATGATAGTGAAATCACAGAAACAATAAAAGAAGATCAGCTGAATTAAATACGCAACTTGGAAATAAAGAAGGTTATTCTAAGCTTATTAGCAAGGGCAGAAGCACAACACAAAGAAACAAAGATGACTGCAGAATTTCCGAAGCACACATAGGAATAAAAGAAGCTAAAAGAGTCCTTATACTTAGTGGAGATGAACATCCTATTGAGAAACTAAGAAAAGGATCTAATATTCGTGGGGAAATCTATGAAAAAGCAAGCACAAATGTCAATCAATTTAGTAGCAAAAAAGTGAAGTAACCTAAAACAATGTGAAACTGTTCTTTTTTTATTTGGATGACAAATAATAACCAGTGGAGGTTGTATGTGGGCGCTAAATAGAACATTTGCTAAGGGCAACTTAACCAAATATATCTAAGTCCAAAGAAGGTAATTCCACTTCTAGGATCAATGCTGCAGAAGCAACTGAACAAGGTGAACAGCTGTTTTTAAAAACTGCTTTCAAATACATACATGCATACACCATACATAAAGAACAAGGGGTGGAGACATGAGAGAAAGAAAAAAATCTATTTTTAGAGCACTGTTTGAGCCAGCAAGATAGCTCAGTGGATATATGCCCTTGCTGTATAAGCCTGGTGACTTGAGTTTGGATCCCTGGAACCCATGGAAAGGGAAGGCAAAGACCAACACCCAAGGCTATCCTCTGATCTACACACACACAACATGACAAATACCTATACACATGTACCATATACACATACATACATATATACATATGAATAAGTATTTTTAAAAACTACAAATGAGTCTAAAATTCAACACTAGTGGAGAAAATTGCATAACCTATCTGTAGAAGAATTAATAATATATGCCAGGCAGTGGTGGCATATGTCTTTAATCCCAGGACTCAGGAGGAAGAGGCAGGCAGATCTCTGTCAATTCAAGGCCAGCCTGGTCTACAGAGTGAGTGCCTGGACAGTCAAGGCTACAAAGAAAAAATTGTCTCAAAAAGCGTGTGTGTGTGTGTGTGTGTGTGTGTGTGTGTGTGTGTGCATAAGTAAGTGCTGGCTACGTGCTACATAACATTTCAACAACAGACTCTGTTCACAACAGTGTCCTCCAAAGATTATGCCCCCTGGTAAGGCTACAGTCCTCTTAAGTTAGTATAAGTATACTCCATAGTGTTCACACAAACAAATTTTCCTCATGAAGCATTTCTCTAAAGGTATCTGTCATTAAGTGATATATGACTGTATTGTGAAACTATTAATAATGGCCAAGAACTATTGTAGACACTTATTTTTGTAAAAATTGTTGTGTAGTAGTGGCACATGTTTTTATACCAGCACTCTGGAGGCAGAAGCAGGTGGATCTCTGTGAGTTTAAGGCCAGCCTGGTCTACAGAATGAGTTCCAGGACAGCTAGGGCTACACAGAGAAATTCCATCTCAAAAACAAACAAACAAACAAACTAAGCCGGCGGTGGTGCATGCCTTTAATCCCAGCACTCCAGAGGCAGAGGCAGAGACAGACGGATCTGGGTGAATTCGAGACCAGCCTGGTCTACAAGAGCTAGTTCCAGGACAGACTCAAAAGCCACAGAGAAACTCTGTCTTGAAAAACCAAAAAAAAAAGAACTAAACAAACAAAAACAATAGACTTCACACTCATGCAATATGAATGCTTAGGGTAGAAGGGTAGAAGAAATGATGCAGCTAACATCTTTAGTCCTAGCACTCAGGAGGCATAGAAAGGCAGATCTCTGAGTGCAAAACCAGCCTGAACCACACAGTGAGGCCCTGTCTCAAAAAACAAAACAAAACAAAAAGCCCAAGTTCACAATTATTCACAAGAAATATTACAATGGATAATTTTTCTTAATATACCTCTTTCCAATGTATCTATTTATAAATTAAAATAAAACAATTCATTATAGTGCAGAAACATCTTTACTTGAAGGGAAGAGGCTTACTTTAATGGATTAATTCTCAGAATACCTCCCTATCCTCCCAGGCTTTTCTATCTCCTTCATGATGATCAATGTGATTTACATAGATGACCCCCCCAGGTAGTGGGCCCATGTAACTTCTCTCTGAACAGGACACTATCTCACCTTTCACTTCTTCCTTTACTAACATTGAACTTTTCATATTTCACAGATCCATCACAGAAAATACAACTAAACCTTCTCCTGGCTAGAACTAGCTGTTTTGGCAGTGCGGTACAATGAAAGAACCAGTATACTAAGGAAAAGGAACCACAACTTATAGGTGCTCTCCTATGCAGTGTCACATCCTGGAGAACATGCTTCTAAACTTCTGAACTCCATATTTCCTTGTTTGTGAATTCGAGACCTGGTGGAAAAAAATGTTCCAAGGTTGTTTGTGTAGTATAGCGTTTCCCTAGTTCTTTTCATGGAACAGTCCAAGTCAAGTGTCTGTCTTACAATTATATGGATTAAGTCTATACTTACAATAAAAGAAAGTTCTCAGCACAACAGATTACCATGAGCATTCACTGTATATACCCAAAACAGGAAGAAATTATGGTGGAGATACTTAATTTCTCTTGAGGGAAAACCCCTACTCACAGCTATGGTTTGCTGGAAAACAGAAATACTTTCCAGTAACATGAGAATTCAGTAGTCTTTGTGCATAGTGACATCAACAGAATTTAGGTTTTGTATAAATACACACACACACACACACACACACACACACACACACATTCACTTACTTTTATGCTTCTCCAAAACAAAATCACTACAGTTTCCTGAGACGTACTCTTAGTACCCCATTATGAAGTATGTTTTAAATCAATGGATTAGGTAGATAATTCATGTATACTTCATGGATATAAGGACGCTATTGCATTCTTTAAACTACCACTAGATGGAACATTCACTACAATGCTTCTATTAAGCTGGTGTCCACTTCACCCTGACTAAATATATTAAGAATTATGTCATAGAATTATGTCATAAAGTATTAACTAAAGTTTTATTATTCTTTGTATACTGTGCCAAATTAATGAAACAAATCCAATAATGTCATCACCCCCAACAAAATTAAAACGTTTGTGTGAATTCTAGTTTTCTGTGTTCTCGGATGTATGTGTAGTATGTGTGGGTGTATGCATGCTAGAATGTGAGTACACAAATTCTCATGCACATACATGTTGAGGGTCAGGTTAGGTCAGTTGTCTACCTTATTTGTCAAAACAGGGCCTCTCACTTGTGCAGGTATGTTAGGTACTAACAAGTGAGCCATCTCCCCAGCCCTGAATTACAATTCTTGCGTCCCAAAGCACGAGTTCCATTAATTGAAATATTCTTTTGCCTAGATAGTTTTACTTTCAGGTAAACTGCACCATACTTACTTATCTAAAACCCGTGGATCTTCTGGGCTCTTGTTTTCATATTCTAAAAGTTCAAGGAAGCTCTGCATGTACCTAAAACAGAAGAGTCACCACATTAGCTGCCTGTCTACCATCCTTTCCCTTTTCATAAGAGTACCCCATGTTTTCACCCAAGCTTTACCCCATCCCATACACAGCTCAAGTGTGTCGGGCTAATTTGATCCCTCCAAAGCATGTAAGCAGCTCCATTTTTCTCTGGGAGATCTTTTTCTCTTGTCAGTAATGACTCATCAGTCCCAAGTTCCTATGAATTGTGTGCATCCCTGAACACAGAGACTGATTCAGGAATAGGCCTCATGCCTCGAGTCAGGCTGAAAGAAGTACACAGAAGACTTGCTGGAGGTCTCTGAGAAAGAAACTGACTTCTCTTGTTAAGTGTGCCATATGAACAGAAAATCTGTAATGCTAAAGGCAGTGTGCCACCTGGAGGGAAGCTCACCTGAAAACAAAGCCAACACTATAAAACCATAGCTTTGATAGCTTCATGGTCTCTGATTCAAACTAACAGGAAATGTTCATCCTATGACTGGCCTTTCTAGTTGTACAAGCAAGGTTCAGCTGCATCATCTGCTATTACAAATGCATCCTAACTAATATTCCAAGTGTACTGTTTGCTTACTCAAAAAGTACATTTATTTATTTATTTTTATTTTATGTACACTGATGTTTTGCCTGCATGTATGTCTGTGTGAGGGTGTCAGATCTTCAAATTACTGACAGCTGTGAGCTACCATGTGGGTGCTGGGTAAATTAGGTCCTTTGGAGAACAGCCAATGCTCTTAATCATGGAGCCAACTCTCCAGAAACTCATAATTTTTTTGAGACAAGATCTCCCTATGTAGCCTTGGCTGACATAGAACACAACATGTAGTCCAGGATGACTTTGAATTCATAGAAATCCACCTGCTACTGCCTCCTGAATTCAGGGATTAAAGGCATGCACCACCACACCTGGCAAAAAGAACCTAACATTTTAAGAAATGCCATTTTGATCCTGAAGTATACAGCAAGAATACAAAAAGGTTCCTTCTCAGAGTAAAATTAACTTCATCAATATGTATTAGAGAAATACATGTTAGGTCAGAAAAAGATTCTGGATTGATCATGATACTTCTCAAAAAGGGTCAATATAAGATAAAATGTGAAAAAAGAAAAAATGTGTACGTTATAATTCTTGAGGCTTAATAACCTGTGCCACACATGAGCAAAGTTGGGCTGGCCTCTAGTCCTTTCCAAAGGGAGCAATCCTCTAAAGAGTAAAGCTATACATGTAAACGAAGCCACCATTATACTAAGATTCCCAGTGTGAAAAGAGAGCAGAAAGACTACAGGGAGCAGTGGCATAGTCACTGTCCCACATACAGCACACCTATAAAGCAAATGACAGTAACACAAATATATGATCCTAAACTACATTCTTAAATCAAGACAGAATTTTTAAAAAACAGGAGCACTATTAAGACAATTAGTAAAATTATAACAAGTGTTACCTATTAGGAAGTATTATCAGTGATAAACAAGAGTTATCTACAGAGGGGCTGGAGAGATGGCTCAGTGGTTAAGAGCACTGGGTCCTCTTCCAAAGGACCTGGGTTCAATTCCCAGCAACCACATGGCAACTCACAACTGTCTGTAACTCCAGTTCCAGGGGATCTGACACCTTCACACCAATGCACCTAAAATAAAGTTAAATACATTATATAAAAAAGAATGGGAGTCATTAGTTCTTATTTTTTCTTTTAGTGATAACTGTTCTTTTCTTTTGGTTTTCGAGACAGAGTTTCTCTGTGTAGCTTTGGAACCTATCCTGGCACTCGCTCTGTAGACCAGGCTGGCCTTGAACTCACAGAGATCCACCTGCCTCTGCCTCCAGAGTGCTGGGATTAAAGGTGTGCGCCACCACTGCCTGGTTAGCAAGGGTGTTTTTCTTTTAGAGATTGTATTTATTATGTATATAGTGTTCTGTCTGTATCCCTGCAGGCCAGAAGAGGGCACCAGATCTCATTATAGATGGTTGTGAGCCACCATGTGGTTTCTAGGAATTGAACTCAGGACCTCTGGAAGAGCAGACAGCATTCTTAACCTCTGAGCCATCTCTCCAGCCCAGTAAGGGAGCTTTTAAAGAAAAAAAATGATCACATCAAATCTTTGAAAACAGTAACTGTGGGTTCTAAGGATTAAAAATAAGGGTGGAATTTATTGGAGGTTGAACAGTTACTGGCAAGATGGCCTTACAGAAGAACTTTCTTTGTAAGGCTGGAGTGACCTTTGTACAAGCTTGTAGACCCAGACTCTTGTGCTAGTCACTAACAGGCAACCATGCAAAGGAAATCCTCCTTAGTAACTCCCTGACAACTTTCACATTTCTTTCATGCATGTGTATGTCATATAATATACACACATACATGTATACATGTATTAATATTTCTCTTCCCCTTCAAGGTGGGAAAGAGAACATGAATTATAAAAGAGAAGGTTCCTAACCTTTCAAACTTACAGAGTGGCAGGAGTATCTTTTGTTAGTTAAAAGCAGCATCTATTGCTCGCATTTGAGTTATTCTAATGATGTCACTTAGGGTGGGGCCTTTACACAGTGTCATCATGATCCTGATCAAAATAACGAGCAAGTGACTGGGGAGATGGAACTTTGGGTCTAATCCCCAACCTCTCTGGAGGCATGAGGGCCTGGAATGAAACTCCATAAAAACTCCTGAATTAGGATATTCTGAAATCTTTGTGTTGAGCACCTGGAAGCACCAACAGAGCACACTCAAAGAAAGCATGGACGTTACAAAGCTTCAGCAGCATCTTGTCTGATACATATTTCTACCATTTTTGCTGGTTCTGAATTGTAGCCTTTGCAATCTACCTGTAAATATAAACAGTGCCTTCCTGAATTCTGTGACTCACTTGAGCAAATTATCAAACCTCAGAAGAGGGTCATGGAAACTCAATGTACAGTCAGTCAGTCAAAAGTATGGGCATGGCACCTGAGATGTAGTGTCAGTCCTGGAGAGCTGAGCCCCTAAACTGTGGGCTCTGTGCTGACTTCTCATACTTAGTATTAGGATTGAACAGAGTTTCTGAACACTCAGCTAATGTCTGGAGAAGCAGAGAATTGGCTAATGTTGGAAAACATTTCAGAGACAGCAATTCACTTTGTAGCTCCTGAAGTAACTGCTACATAACAATGGAAACTGCCTTATTCCTACCACCTCCTGGATCAAAGGACTTGACCTTGCCTACTTAGGATCTTCAACAGAGTGGTCCCTGACAGTGACTTCCACTTTCTACAGCAAAATTTTCAATGGTCCCTGACAGTGACTTGCACTTTCTACAGCAAAATTTCCAATGATGGTTTAGAAGCAATAAAGAAGTCTCATAAACAAATACTTGTTGTTCCTTCCTTCTAAAAAAAAAGTTGTGAGTTCAGAGCAGAATGTAACTATGGTATCAAATTCACAGTCATTCTTTCTCTGATATTTCCTGCAACCTAAAAACTGTATCCTCATAGTCAGGAGCTTTTTGCTTCTTTTCTGGACAGGGGGTCAGACATGAACTTCTAAGACCATCTAAAACTGTGGGTAGTGGAGGAAGTCCCCAGTAAATGTGTAAGTATCAGATGAAGTCCTGAATGAATACATGTTGTTGACACAAGTGTGGCCACGTCAAGGATGCCAATGCTTCAGACCCATGGAAATGGCAGTGTCATCCCCTGCTCCATGTGTGGATGTTTACAGTGTATACAGAAAATCCCCACTGAAGTTTCTTCATCCCAGATATTTACACCCTAAGACTGTTCCCCTACAGAGATCTCCTACCTAGAACAGCTAAACTTGAGCTAAACTCCTGTAAACAATAAATACAGCTCTTGATTCAGGGATGATAGTGATGCAACTCTATCAGAATGCACAGCTTACTTGATTCCAGCTTTTCTGTATGTGTGTCTATCATTTCTGCATTCCCAGTCACTAAGTTAGGTCAATCCCTAGAGCATGCAAGGCCATAGCATAAAATAGTGCCCAGAAGAACTTCCTATTTTTGACAAATGGCCATTGTATGTCCATTCTATATCAGTAGCCAGGCCACCACACTCTCTGAATTCAAGCTAGTTTCCCAGTTCCTGGGGTTTTCTTATGATGTTTTCCTGCTTCTCTGTACCATCAAGGACACCCATCAAGGAACAGTACAAGACCACAGCCAGCATTTCCTGCCCCTGCTCCTCCCGATTAGCAGCGTGTATGCCACATGGTCCCTACAGTCCTCCAGCTTTCTCCAGACACTTTCACCATGCTTTCATAGCAGAGTAGACCAAACATGCAAGCCCTGCCGAAAAACCCCCCACCTTTTCTTACAGCCGCCCGCTCAGTGATCTCACTCAGGGAGGAAAGTCAACACAAACTCCACGCCCTCTGCTAGAGAACACGTGCTTTACGATCAGACCTATAAGATCTTTCATAGGGCAGATGCAACAGCATAGCATGGAACTGATATTTTCCCATACGAGGTTCCCCTGTAAATGATTTGACTATTCAAACATTTCCTTCATGGAAGATACAAAAGAGGCAATTTCTCCCTATCCAAAGGAGAGCAAATGGGCTAGGCATGTAGCTCAATTGATGGAGTGCTTTCCTAGCACTCTATACTGCCAAAGCTGTGCTTCAATCCCCAGTAACTAGACATGGCATGGGATTCTAACACTCAGGAGGCAAGAGAATCTCAAATGCAAGGTCACCTAGGCTACAAACTGAATTCAAGGCCAGTCTGAGATACATGAAACACTGCCTCAATTTTTTTTGATGAAAGTGGATCCACTGATACCTGGCCACTGCAATGACATTCCTTTATATTATTTCCTAATTTTTTTCCAATGAAGCAACCATATCTATAACAAGAGAAAAAACCAAAAAGTTAAGACAATATCTTATGGTTTAAGATATTTTCATTAAACAGTTTTAAAATGAAACCTTTTTTTTGAAACAGGGTTTCTCTGTGTAACAGCTCTGGCTGTCCTGGAACTTGTTTTAGTAGACCAGACTGGCCTCACACTCACAGAGATCCAGCCTGCCTCTGCTTCCCAAGTGCTGGGATTATATGTGTGCACCACCAACTGGCCAGTTTTAAAATGAATAGTTAAAAGAAATCTTTTAAATGCAAGGAAAACTCAGCTATCCTGGATGACTCATTCTCAGAAAGGCAGTATCTACACTTGTGTGGAAAACGGTTCCAATGCCAAAATGCTCCAAGCATTGTTGGGTGATCACAACATTTACTTACCAACTCTGAACAAGTTATCTGGCAAAAGATTAACTTCTCTCATTGTGTTAGCCAGTAGTACAGGAAGCTCCTTGCGCAGAAACATATATGAAGTTTTTCCACATGCATTATCTCTCCTATTAAGAGATGAAAAAGTTCTATAAGATTAACCCAGAGAAACATAAAATGTTCTTGTGTTAACAGAATTACTACTGGTCAGGAAAATAAAATTAAGTAATGTAACAATTTCTAGATAAATTTTTATTCTCTGAAACAGCAAGTTTAAGAAAACCATTTAATTAGAAGATAAAAAGAGACATTTATTCCAAGAGGCAACTTTGAAAGCCATTTTTTTCTTAATACAAATATGTACCTAGTGTTAACTGGCCACAATATAAAAGTGACCTGGGATATAATGAGTTTGTTTTCAAATAAACACTGTGTAAAAATTTCCAAGTACAGAAAGAGTACAACATGTAAATCTGCTCCTGCTCATAGTGGTTTTCTGGGAGGCAACATGATTCATTCATTCTGTAAATATTCTTCCAATGTTTCTTTAGGAAACACACTGCTCTGCCATCCTGGAATCAGAATTTCTGTGATTCCACACAAAGGACTCTAAGGCACGGGACTACTATGTCTCAAAGAAATAGCTTACAATGTACTCCCAGGTGAATGATCCACTATGAAAAGTCCAAGAAGGAAAAACATATACAGAAGTTCAGTGAAGTAGCATGTGAACTCACTCCCATGTGGAATAGCAGAAATTGAGACTACAATGATGGCTTCTAGAGGTTGGGGACAACAGGGATGGAGTGAGATTTTATCAATAGTTACTAAGCTGAAGTTAGAAGAAATAAGTTCTGGTATAATGCTGTACAATATGGCTAACACTTGTGCACCATACCTTTCAAAAAACTGGAAGGATATTGAAAGTTTGTCAGGAGAAAGGATCCAATGTTAAAGGAGATAAATATGCTTAGCCCGATGTTAACATTATACATACTTCATTAATATAAATAGATCAGATATCAGATAAAGATAAAAGTAACAGGAAACACATGGTCAGAGAATATTCTGGAGCTGGTTGTGCATTCACATAAACAAGGCAGGGTGATAGAAGAGGCATCTGGTGTAGGAGGAAGTCTGATGCCGCCATTAAACATGTGACTTACTAAGTCTATGCCGCCATTAAACATGTGACTTACTAGAGGCGCATACAGATGAGGTAATAAAAGGGCGGTTTACCACACCGCTAACCACACCCACTTTAGGCAGGACTAAAGACGTATACGGCTGGACGTAAAGACGTATACGTACGTAGGCGGAACTACGTCACTAGCCAAGCCCACTTTTGGGCATGGCTAGGGGCGTTACGGGGGAAGGCATAAAAGACAGCGCACAGGAAGTCTCGCTCTCTTTTCCTGGAGTTCGGCTTCCGGTCCAGTCGCTAGCTGAGATCTGCTGGGCTTCTCGGGGTTTGGTATCTTGTGAGTAATTTTCTACATTAAATACTTAGCTTCACTTTCAGTAATTGTGTGTCGCGTATCGTTACAGCGTCCGTAAAGCCAACAGTTTGGTGTCGGAGCGGGATTGGAATCGGGACCCAGGCGGCTTCTCTCGGCCTGACCAGGCACACGTGGACTCTCCTTTCGCTAAGTTCCTCACCACTTCGCTCGGCAAGGCACGATTCCTGCCGCCAGGAACCAGCACCTTCTACCTGCCGGTAAGGTTAGGCGGAATTCCAAGGTTTCTCTCGCGGCCACGTGCTGTTTTACTGGCGGCCAGCTGACTCCGGCCACGTGCTCTTTCGCTGGCAGCCTGTTGATTTCGGCCTGAATTACTCCATTGGTAACAAACGTAACTGCTTTATACAATGTCAACAGCTAACACTATGATGCAGGATGTTAAGAATTTTCTTGTTTTTTGTATGGATGGGATTTTAGAAAGGGTTGAGGACCTACCTGAAAGGTGCTTCCTACCCATGATGGTGATTATTAGCTTCATAATCAATATAATTTTGTTAATGAAATGGCTCAAAAATAGGAATAAACTTATACAGGTCATACAGTCATCGCAGGATAGTTTTGAAATCTTAATACAAAGGATTCAGGAAATGCAAAATTCATTGCAGGAGAGTAAGAAAGGGTTGGTAGAAAATATTCAGGATATTAAAAATGATAATGTAGGTCTGACGAACAGGTTTAAAGAGACGGAACACAAAATTGAATTATTTTCAGGAAAAATGTGTTCCATAGATAGAATTGAAAAATTGGAACATAATGTGGAAACATTTAACGACAAACACGGTTCCATGTTTGATGATTTCACTAGCAAATTACAAAGACTGGAACATAAAATTGAAATGCTAGCAGAAAAGAATTGTTCCATGTCTGAGAGCAATGATAAACTAACTGATAGAATATCATTTGTAGAAGGCAGTTTACATGCTATTGAGGTACTTGCTAAGGATGAGAATATTAGAAATTTGGAATCACATGTAAATGATGAATGTAAAAAAATGAAAGATTCCATGACATCCTTAGAAAATCATTTGTCCCAAGAACTTCAAGAGCTCAGAGAAACAATGATGAATAGACTGCAGGATTTAGAAGACGCTCAATCTGATACTTCAGAATCAGAAATACAGGCAACAGGTCAGGACAGGAGTTTCCCAAAGCTTCTCAAATGCCGGAATGATTTCCCTAAGGTTGCTATGCGTTCCCCTATGGTTTTTCCAGTATCTGTATCAGAAAAACCAGCAACGAAAAAACAATCAAATGGTCCCATTGCTTATCACTGGGAGCCTATACAGATGAAGGATCTAAAAAATATTAAGGAGGCCATTGTCATGTATGGTCTTCATTCTCCCTTTGTCAGAGAGCTCCTAACCTCATGGGCTACTGTAAATAAAGTAACCCCAAAAGACTGGGCCCAATTAGCCTCTGCAGTGCTCGAAAATTCTTGCCAAATTCAATGGAGAGCTTTGTGGAGGCAAGAAGCAAAAGCAATTGAGATTCAGGAATTGCAGAACGGTCATGAAGTACCCCAAGACAAGATTCTTGGGGAGGGTCCTTACGCTGACACGCAGGTTCAATCTGCATATGACGAGCACATGTTGTCTTTGTGCCGTACAGCTGCTTTAAATGCCTTGGATAAGGTTTGTGAAACAGGAGAGATAATGCAACCCTACACCAAGGTATTACAGGGCCCAAGGGAAAGGTTCACTGAATTTTTAGAGAGATTATCCAGAGCAGTAGAGGTACAGGTAGCGAACCCAGAATCCAGGCGTCTTCTTATAGAATCTTTGGCGTATGAGAACGCGAATCCTCAATGCAGGCAGGTAATTTGGCCATTAAAAATAAGATCAGCGCCATTGGAGGAATGGGTCCTGCATACAGCGAACCTGGAATGTAAAAGTCAGGATACAGGAGCTTGGGTAGGTGAAGCTATTTCTACAGGCTTGAGGAGGCACCAGGATGCCAAATACCCTACCTGTGATGATATAGAGGCATGGGTAGGGAAGGCAATCTCAAAGAATTTAAATAGGCGTAAAGATGCAAAATGCTTTAACTGTGGTAGAATAGGACATCTTAGTAGGAACTGTAGACAACGCATTCCTAGAAATAATGCTTTTACCAGGAATGTATCAAACAGAAGGCCTAAGCCTCCTGGTCTATGCAGGAGGTGTGGGAAGGGGCGCCATTGGACTGATGAATGCTTTTCCACAATAGACAGACAAGGTAGATCTTTACAGCAGGGAAACGGGCTTCCGGGGCTCCATGGAGCCCCGAAGAGGAAGATTATCCGGTCATTCCCAGTGACAGTGGAGGACAGCCTCTCCCAGGACAATTAGAAGATCCACTGCCCATTGTAAATAATACGGCACTGGATAATACATTAGCTCCAGAGGATGAATCAATTACATCAGGAGGAGATACAAAACATATATTTTGGCAAACTTCTATACAATATCATAGACCCAAACTTCCGGTTAAGGTAAATAATAGGGTGATTTACGGATTACTGGACACCGGAAGTGACGTCACTATCCTTAATCAGCAGTCCTGGCCACAAAACTGGGCTTTAAAAGAGGTTAATGTTCAATTCTTAGGGATCGGAACCCTATCTGAAGTTAAACAGAGCGTTAGATGGATTGACTTTATTGGGCCAGAAGGACAGAGAGGAAGGTTAAAGCCATATGTTGCAGATATTGCTATAAACCTCTGGGGTCGTGATCTACTCCAGCAATGGAATACGCAGATTAAAATTCCTCCTGTATCAGCTAGGAATTATAGACAAGCTCTTAGTGGTAGTAAGAATATAGTAAGACAGTACAGAAAACAGATGCCAAATGTACAGGCTGTGCAGAAGCAAGATGCTAGTGCCAAACCTACAGAGCAACCAAAAGCTCTACCATTAAAATGGCTGACAGATGAACCCGTCTGGGTGGGTCAATGGCCTATGACATCTGAGAAGTTAGAGGCTTTGGAGAAGTTAGTTCAGGAACAGCTAGATGCTGGACATATTGAGGAATCAACTAGTGCGTGGAATTCGCCTGTTTTTGTTGTCAAGAAGAAGTCTGGTAAGTGGAGAATGGTTACTGATCTTAGAGCCATCAACAAGGTAATTCAGCCTATGGGGTCTCTACAACCTGGGATGCCGTTACCTTCTCTAATTCCTAAGGATTGGCCAATTATAGTTATAGACTTAAAAGATTGTTTCTTCACCATACCGTTACAAGAAAACGACAGAGAAAAGTTTGCCTTCACAGTACCTACCTATAATAATTCCCGTCCGGTACAGAGATTCCAGTGGAAGGTACTACCTCAAGGTATGTTAAACAGTCCAACTTTGTGTCAATATTTTGTGAATAAACCTCTAGAAATAATTCGTAAAAAATTTCCACATTCGTTAATATATCATTATATGGATGACATATTATTGTCTGATTCAAATAAGGATACTTTGGAAAAGATGTTTGAGGCAGTAAAGGAAATTTTGCCTCGCTGGGGATTACAAATTGCCCCAGAAAAAATACAAAGAGGAGATTCTATTAACTATTTAGGTTATAAAATAGATGCTCAGAAAATTAGACCACAGAAAGTACAGATCAGAAGAGATCGTTACCGGACTC